CACGCAGAGACATGTAGGAGCAGATGTATGAAGGCAGCAGACCAAGAAGTGATTTAAAGATGAAAATGTACCAGTGAGAGAGTCTGCGTGAAGTTAATGATGACCAGTTAACCAGTGAATACAGGGTGCAGTGGTGGACACAATACTCACAGCCAGTTATGAATCTTAGTGCACCGTGATAGACAGCATCCAGCATCTGCAGGGTGCTTGTAGGAGCATTCATGTAAATAATGTCACCGTAATCAATGGAGGGAAGGAAAGTCGCAGTTACAAGGTGTTTCCTAGCATTCAGACTTAGACAGGATCTATTTCTGAAAAAGAAACCCAGTTTAACTTTGTTTTCTTACCAGGTTTTCCACATGGAGCTGAAAAGAGAGATGCAAGTTGACCAAGATACCCAGATATTTGTAGAAATCAACAAACTCAATGGGGACACCATTTGAGGATAAAATCAGAGGAAGAACTGACTTCCTGTTCGAAAAAAGCATCCCTTTGGTTTTATTGGCATTTAGGACAAGTTTGAGGTGGAACAAATCTGACTGGATGAAGTCAAAGGCGAAATGCAAAAGCTGGAAAGCCTTAGCAACTGTTTTAGCTCGACAATAAACAACTGTGTCATCAGCATAGAAATGTAAGGATGCATCAAGGATGCTCTGACCTACATTACCTATATAGATTGTAAAGAGGGTGGGTCTTAAGACTGAGCCTTGTGTTATACCATTTCTGACTGTTAACTTGAGGAAGTACCACAGTACTTTTACTGACTTGATGCAAGCAACAAAAAAAAATGTTGTTTTTGAAATCTAAATATACAAATACTGCAAGTCTTCCTCTGAATATGTAAAATGTCTAAATTAAGCATGATTTAGATATACAGCTTAGACATGCTTTGTAGGTCTAAATGACTACAAACCAAAAAATAGGCTAAAGCTAAATAAATATTTCAGCTAGTTGTGATAAATCATACTTGGCTGGATTTTTTTCTTATTAGCTTTAACTTCTAATTTTTATCATCTGTGGTAAGAGCAGGTTGAAGTGAAGAATAAACATTACACTAATGAGCACAGCTCCCAGGCGCAGATCATTGGGCATCATGTTTGACATGCTAACGTTTGATTCAGCTGACTAACGTTTGTTCTTCTTAATAATGGTATTTTGGGAACATCATAACCAGGATTCTTCCTTTAGCTTGAGGGGCTGGAGCATAAATTAGTTACATATGAAAAATTATGTTTATTAAATGGTTTACTTGTTCTTTCATCAGCCAATAAAGCAGTCAGTTCTCTTGTGAACCGCTCACTGAAAGTCAGGCTTGAGAGTTTGCAACACAGATTTTTAGTTCTTCTTTGGTAATGCCAAACTTTTACCACATTATTTATCCACATTTAAATAAACATTTTGTTTATAACATTTCTTTAGCTGTTTTCATGACAAAAATGCCCCAGAACTGCATTACTTGTATTGTATTGTATTGTATTGTATTGTTTGTATTGTATTGCTTGTATTGTATTGTGTTGTATTGTTTGTATTGTATTGTAT